CTGCTGATTAAAGATGCTGCAGATTTTTCAAGAAAGACCACACCAAGAAAAATGAACCGCTGGATGTCAGGTCTTTTGAGAATAGGACATAATAATGGACTTACCAATTTCATTCAGGGAAGCGAAGTTCTTGCTTCGTCAGGAGAATAAGCTTTGACAACGTGATAAGGATTACAGAACCGCGAATTAAAGTTTTTGCCAAAGATAAAAAGATCGAATTCGAGGCTGCTGATGGGACTAGCAGCGCCGCATGCTTTGATCCACTTCTGTTAGAGAGCAACAAGTGTAGGAAATGTATGAAATGTGTGGAGACAGGGTAACAAGAGATCTTTGTGTGTCCAGAATTCGGTGCAAAAGTGGAACCTTTATTCGGCAACGCTCAAAGGGCCAAGGCGTTTACTTTAATTTGCGTATAGAACAGCAATGTTCTTCATGGAGACATAATAAAGAGTGTAGCAGTGTTGCTTGGTTGTATGTAGTGTGTGTGGAAACGCTTTTGATATGATATCGTCTAATTGAAACGGCTGGATTAGTCACCTCAACCTTACCAACCTAAGGTTTACATTGTTCTGCCAGTCTCTGAAAGTTAGAAGATCATTATACTCATTGCGACAATTTTTTGCAGAAATATTCCAATTCCAAGCGGTGGAGGAAGCCATCTGTAAGGCATTAGATTACCTCCTCTGTTTCTGCACGGCCTTAACCAGAACTCTTCTTAGATATCTCCAAACCTGGCTGACTTCAAAATAGAATATCAAGACTCTCTTGAACTACGCTACAGTCGTTAACGTCGACCTATACGATGACTACTTTAGATCGTAATAAAACGGGCCTTTATCTGGTACTACAAAAGACCAACGGATTTATATAAAGCGCATCTGCCGGTTCGAGTAACCTAATATAACCTGAGCGGGCGCTGCAGGATCGGTTCGGTAAGCGATGAGGGGTACTTGAAATGATGGAAGAAAATTGAAAGAAAGTTTTCCTGCTTTCTAGCTTCTAAAATGCTACGGACCTCTCATATCTATGTATCTATGTTCGACTCTGAATGACTCGAAAACACCTCCCCTCTCTTTGTCTATCTCTTTATTTTTCTCTGTATCCATATTTCTTTCTCTCTTCCTTCTCATTTTCTTTGTAGGAAGTGTTTTCAAAAAGAATTTTTCTGAGGTAGTAAATGCTAAAAAATCATCCAGGATAGAACCAATTGGTTTAGTGGAAGCAAATACACAAACCGAGCTCTTCTTTAAGTCGAGTTTCTCAAACTTTGAGAAGAGGCTCTCAAAGGAAATAAGAACAAGTTACTCTCAATTTGAATTGTAATTAGAGCTCCCAAAAACCTTGACAAACTCACTGTCGAAGTAAACATGACATACCACACTCATGAATAAACCTACTCGTTTCATCGAATGGAGTGTCAATTTTTATTCAATCTATTACATCACTCCACCCACTTGTAAGAAAATCAATTTGTTAAATTGATTTCACTGCCTTACGTTACTTGATAACTCCAACTGTGCTCTGTGGCAGGACAATGAAACTCGACGCAGACTAATGTACTAGTATATCATAGTAGATACGCAAAAGTTTAACCGTTTACATACTTAATGCTATGCAGAAAAAAGAGAGCGTACGCACGAAAAACAAAACAAAAACGAAAAACGAAAAAAAGAAAACAAGAAAAAAAACAAGAAAAAAGCAAACATTAAACGCTCAATTTAGGCTGACTGTCAAGCACACAAAACATAAGCTATTTGCATAATACCCATTGTATGTGTGATTGTGTGCATAGAAATATGCAAATGTGTGCGTTTGACAAAAGTGACAACGGTGTTGTGCTGTGTCGTGTTATTTGTGCTGTTGTGTTACGTTGTCAGTGTGAATGGCTTGCTTCTGTTACTTCTTCAAAATGTAACCCTTTTTCTCGAGTGGCGCCTCAAGTGGGCGGTTTGAAGCTTTATTTATATACATATATATGTATATTTGCATGTATGTAAATGTATGAGCTTGCTTAACTCTTCGCCTACAAACTGATAATTTTTTTGTTGCTTCCTAGCTTACTTACTTATATATATACACAACTGTGTACGTGCAGTGCATATAATTTTTGTTTTTGTTTTTTGTTTTTTGTTTTTTTTTGTTTTAGTAGATTAATATAGATGTTCTGTGTTGTTGAGCTGTGATGTTTTTGAGCATATTATAAATCATCTAATATTTGTTTAAATGCCAGCATTACAGTCAAATAAACATCCATAATAACGTCGACACAGACGTCGACCGGAAAACCGCACAGACATTTGTATAATGTGCACGCCACTCGTACTTTGCATGCATACATACATATGTATTGTATATAGTACGAGTATAACTATAAATAATGACATACATATTAACACATTCTTTGCGGGTTTCGGTTGACTTTCATTTGATTGGGCGCCCACAGGCATGACTGTGTAATTAAAGGTTTGCCGAGATTTGGCTTAGTTGAAGAGGTGCACAATTTGTTTAATTTGCTTTTGGGTTAGCAGCAACGTGCGGAGGTGTGGGGTAAAGATGCTGAGTAGGTAGTAATTATTAAGTTTACTTCCTGTTTCGGTACGTGGGTATAAGTGCCGCCGACGGCCATACAATGACTTGCAATTATGCCGGCGCATGTCCGATTATATGCAAATGCTTCGAATACAATATAATTATTAAAATATTTCCTTAATTTCACAATTTCCAAAATTGTACTTAACCACCTACTTAAGATAATAATTCCCCTTTTTATAAAATTTTCAAATATTTCTACACCAAACGTTAAGATTTTCCTTGCGCTCACTTATTTGCTTTGACAGCCATGGTTTTATGCTTGGCCAGCTGATATCGATAAATTTACGATAAATATGGTGTGGGCAATGATTTAATTGTAATTTGCACAATAATTGAATAATAATTATCTACAATTTATGTTACGCGCTTCCAAATAGCTAAATATGTGTGCACATATACATATGTACGTATGTATGATATTCCTCAAAAGTGTATTGTGATAAATAAATGAGTAAAGGCGAGCATTTGTTCGCACGGTTTGAGTGCTTCGTAAGGTACTTTAAAAATGTTAACAGTTTAGAGACAACTGTAAGCTCGACGCTGGAAATACTAACAAGATCTTTTGCCTCAGCATAGGAAATTATATCATTGACCAGAATATCGTATGAAATTTAAATGAGGAGAAAGAACAATATTGTGAAAAGTTTGAGAGCCATGATAAGTACTGCTAAAACTAAAAATTGTATGGAAAATTGAATTTTAGAAACTAGAAGTTTTTTAACAACAAAAACTTTAGCTTAAAACCTGCCACTACTAGACTCCTTCTCTAATCACATCTACAGGATATCTTCACCTGGAAGCAACTAACGAACTCCAACGTTGGGTAGAGAGTCAGATTTATTTAAAAGCTTTGTGAGCTAGTACAGGACATTGGTATATGCATAAGTCTTATTATTCCATCCAAGGAATTTCTTAAGTCTAGTAGCAAAGCATGCTGCAATTTTACGAATGACAATGCTCCAGCTAAGCGAAGGTTGGGGTGAACAAGAAGACGTAAAAAAAAAACTGGTCCCATTCGCGATCCGGAAGATTTCTCAACTTGTGATAAATGTTCAGGTGGCTCACCTTGTACATGTTCGTATCTTCCAATTCAACCGCCCTCTATGAGATATATAAACAAAACTCAATTGGCTACTTTGAATGACTCATAAACTCTCATCTCGGACAATACTAATCTGATGTGCACATATATGTAAATATAACTTTAGCTTAAAACCTGCCTCGACGGCTAAAGTTAACTTTGTCGGCCAAGTATAGTGTGCTTCGTTCGAGCTCTCCCTTATTATCACGGATCAGGCTTACCCTTTCTTAGAGTATCGAACATAACAGACAGCGTCGATTACCTGAGACCAAAAATTTCATCTACTCAGAAAGATTCAATACTGAGACTTCTTTAAACACCTTCGCATGCTTTTCTAACCAAACTCCTTCAGTTCTTCTTTCTCACCAAAAGAGCAAAAGTCAAAATTCAAACTGCATTTTTTACTATGAAATCACATAATTTATTCATAATTTATTCATTTCTATGAAATGTCATATCTCAAAGCGTCGCATGCATACATACAGTTTTATGTAGAAAAACAACAACATTACCTGCTATTCATTCTAAAAGAGTTTGCATTCAAAAGACTTTAAAAGGTGCCACAAAGATTATTTTTAAGTTGCAGAAAGAAAATATTTTCTTGGAAATTACCTAACAATCGAGGATTGACAAAGTAAATAAACGCCAAGCTAAGGCAAACTGCTACTCTGCTGCTGCTGCTGCTGCGGCTGGCGTTGTTGCTTTCGTCGCAAGAAAAGAAAAGGCATTATCCATCATCTGTTTTCATTTTTGCAGTTTTTGCTGTTATTTTTCTGCAGCGTGTTTCTTCAATCAACAGCTGCATTGCATCAGCAATGCATCACACACACTTGAAAATGAAGAGGTCAAAGAAGAAGCAGCAGCAGAGGCAGCAGCAGCAGCAGCGCCCACAAAGCACAACTAACCTTCCACTCAGCCGTGAGACGCAAACTCCGCCACAAACACAAACACAGGTACATACACACACACTTGTGGGTGACAACTAATTCAAGCAGACACAGCAGGTGCCATACACACAAGACAACAACAACAACAGCAAAAACACCTCGTCTCTTGAAATATTCCCAGTATTTTGCTACTTGCAACATTGCAACAAAAGAAGAAAAGAGTAGTAATGGGAAAAAGCCTGATTATGGCAAGCAATAGAAACACTTTCAACAACCACTACCAACATCAACAACAACAACAAGCACCACACGAACAACAAATGAGTGGGAGAAGAGCTTTAAAGCTCATCAACGCCAAAGTATAGGAAGGATACAAAAATATTTCTATCTTAAATGGCGATGCTGGCAGAGAAATGAATTCAGTTGCTCGCGACAAACGAAAGGAAGACGACCACGACGAGAAATAACGGTGCGTAGTGCTAGCACTGAAACGTTAGTAGAGTGTTTTTTTTGCTGCGCCAAAGAGTTAAACAGTTGTAGTTGTTGTTATAGTTGTTTGTAGCATAGCAAAGTAGTAATTTTGGTGGGCAAAATGTTCATGTCGTTGTTGTTGTGTAGTGAAAAACAAACAACAAAAATTTGTTTGCAATATTAGCGACAGTAGCAGAAAAGAGTGAGAGAAAACAACTGGAAAAAAGTAATAAGACGGAAAACTGAAAAGTGAAAAGGAAAAATACTAGCGAAAAAGCACAAAAACCAGCAACAAAAGCAATAACAGCAAGAGGGGTAAATACGAGAAAAAGCAAGAGGTGGAGGAAAGGTGAAAACACTAATGGAAACTATGACAAATAAGTAAAAGCAAATTGCGAAATTTGAACAAAACAATAAATTAAACATTAAGAATTTAGAAAATAAATTGAAATAAAGTAAAAACCAAAAATGAAACAATATTAAATGAAATGAAGTGTAAAAGAGAGCAAATAAATCGAAAAAAAATAAAATACTTTGATATGTTTGAAGAAAAAAATAAATAAAAACAAAAACAAAGCGCAGTAAAATAAAATCAAAAATTAAATAAATAAATTAAGATAAAAGTTAAAAGAAGGATAAAAAATTTAACAAAATCCAATAAAAAATAAATTAAATAAAATAATTTAAATAATAAAAATATATATATATAAAAAAAAATATATAAAAAAGTAAAATAAAATAATTGCCTTTACCCAAATGAAAGAAAATAGAGTTTTTAAAAAGTATATAAAGCAAACTAAATTGAAATAAAATTATATAAACCAAAATCAACCATAAATAAAAATATTAAAATAGAATTAAAATAAAATAATTAATATAAATAAAAATATAAAATAATTTGAAATTAAGTAACGAAAATAAATTATAATAAAAACTATAAAATCTAAAAATAAAGTGAAACAAAACCAAAAAAAAAAAAAATTTAATAATAAAAAGTATATATATATAGTATATTATATGGAAAAATATGGAAAAAATATTAATAAAATAATTGCCATTATGTAAACGAAAGAAAAAGAGTTTTTATAAAGTATATAAAGCAAAATAAATTGAAAAAAATTATATAAACCAGAATTAACCATAAATAAAAATAATAAAATAAAATTAAGATCAAATATATAAAATAAATAAAAAGTAAGATAATTTGAAAAAAATTACTTTTAAATTAAAATAAGATAAAATAAATCGAAAAATAGAGTAAAGCAAAATCAAATAAAATAAAATAAAATATTATGAATTCAAATGAAATAAAATAAAATCACAAAATATAGCAAATTAAAATGAAACAAAATTACCTAATTTTAAATAAAAAAAAAAAACAAAAATAAAATAAAAAATAAAAACAAAAATGTATAGATTGATTTGAAATATATTTTTTGAAAATACATAACTAAAAAAATGAAAAATTGCATCAAATAAAATGAAATGAGATCACAAATATAATAAATAATATAAAATTAAAGTAAATAAACTTTAGTTAAATTCAATAAAATTTTTATAAAATGCGATGAAATATTAATTAATAATTAATAAAATAAAATAAAAAAGATATAGCTAAGTTATATGAAATAAAATAAATTAAACAAACTAAAATAAAATAGAATAAACTTAAGTAATAGATAAATAAAATAAAATTAAATTGATATAAATTAAATTTAATCGAAAATTAAAATTAATAAATATTGTAAAAAAAATTGAATGAAATAATTTTAAATTAAATAAAATTAAAGTAAACATAAAAAAAATTTAAAAATATATACAAATAATAATTAAGATAAAAATATTTTAAATGAAATTAAACAAATAAAATTAAATCCAAAGAAATGAGATAAAAAAAGTACGATATAAATTTGAAATTAATAAAATAATAATAATAATGAATAAATAAAATAAAAATTAATTTTTATATTATTTAATTGATTAATTAAAATAAGACTAATTAAAATAAAACAAAATAAAATAAAAGTAAACAAAATAAATTAAAATAAAAAATAATATAAAATAAATTAATATAAAATAAAATAAACTAAAATTAAATAATAAAATAAAAAATTAAATAAAATAAATTAAAGTAAACCGAATAAAAAAACGAATTTTTACCATAAAAAAAAAATCCGTAATTAAACGGCGAATATTACAAATAAATAAGAAAGTTACGCCAAAAGGTAACCAGAAAAAGCCAGGTCGCCAGTATAAGTATAATAATAATCTGTTGGTAAAAAACGCTTGCTAAAAAAGTATAAATATTAGCAGCAAATTGAGTTTGAAGAATTTTTTCTTTTAATAACGAAAAATTACCAATTTACGTGAAAAAGTTTCGAAATGTGTGAAAGTTAGTGTAGCGCAAGGTAAAGTACAGTGACACAGTGAGTGAGCGAGCGAGCGAGCGAGTGGGTAGCAGGCGGCCGAATGTGTGGAAAATGAGAGAGAGAGAGTGAGTAATCAGTTGGGTGAGTGAATAAATGAGTGACAGTCTGCCACTCGCCTGCCAGTAATGCCGTGACTTGTCAACAACGAATGGCAACAGACGAGTCTTCGGGGAGGGCAACCAGCACACTTTAACTGATGCGTGATTTATGGGTGCTTCTGCTGTGAAAACCACTACTTGAAGCACTCAGAAAAAAGTCAAAAACAAAAAACAAAAAAACGAAAATAAAAATATTAATAAAAATTGTGTGCACTTTTCTCAAGTGTTGCAAAATGCTACAGTGTAGTAGTTGATAAAGTTGCCCCTTGGCTGGCTGGTTGGCAGTGAAAAGCACGGAAGAAGGTACACAACAAAAAAATTAAAAAAAAAAAACCATGAAAAACTGAAACTGAAACGAATTAAAAAGCGAAAAAGCAAGGAACTCACTATACTTCGCCAGGAGCTGCGCAGCTAAGTGTTAACTTGAAATTTCAACTCATGAATGAATGAAATTCGCTGGCCGTGTTTATATGTGTGTGTGTGTTTGTGACATACCTATAAGCGAAGAGCATTGAAGGTGCATAAATGCAGGTGTGTGTGTGTGTGTATAAGTCCCCCAATGTCCATATTTTAGGTGCTACGTTCTAGGTGCTATCTTGAATATATAGTAGAAAACCTTATGCAAATGTGTGTGCAGTCGTGTGGGAGTGCGTATGTGTGTCGCTCTCTCTCTCTCTCTCTCTCTATCTTTCTCTTCCACTCTCTTTGCCCACTTGTGTTCTATTGTGCCTGAAAGGCGACGTAAAAAAGGCAATGGGTTATACAAGCAAGTTGTTTGCATACAAAGAAAGCGAATGAGCAAGCAGAATGTGTGCAAAAAGTAAAAGACAAAAATTAGAACAACAAAAGGAAGAATAACAACAACAACAACGATAAAAATGCCAACTAAGCGAGACATAAAAGCACAAACATGAAAGGGCACAAGCGCACCAAAACAAATCAACGACAAGAGCAGACGAGCAAAACAATGTTCAATTCACATTGTGCGCCGCAAAGTATGCAATGTAAAAGTGAGAAAAGCGGAATTAGGGAGAAGAAAGGCAAAAACCAACTTGAACGCTCGACTTAATGACAACACAATGCCGATTTAATTGACAAGTTTTATGTGCTTTGCCAACAGTAGCAACAACAACAAGTGGTACAGCAAGAACAACAACAACAAGAGCGAGTGCTTCAACAACAACTGGCACACGAATCACAAGTAAAAGCAGGAAATGAGGAAATAAGTAAATTTATTATGCCCACCAATACGCGCACACACACATACACACATACAGAGACACGCGCACACAGGAATATTGTGGTTTTGAAAGCAGCATGCGACCATTATTCCAAGCGGATGTGAGCAGCTAAAAGCGCAAAATTTTTACAACACAAAAAAATTACAATAATCATAATAAAATAACGATAAACAAAGTAAGTAGTGGAGCTTAGTGGACGGACGAACGGACAGACGCCTGTGCGTGGATGTTTGCCGGGAACAAAGGTTCGCCGAGAAAAAAAAGTTATCCATTTGCATGTGTGAATGTGTGTACATACATATGTGTGTATGCGCGTATGTACGTATGTATGTATATAACGGTATATTTGCAGTTGTTTGTATTTATATTTAGAGTATTTAATCAGCTTGTTGTAGTGCTAACAAAAAAACAAAAAAAAAAAAAACAAAAACAAACAAACAATTTAGCACGAAAACAACAACAGTTGCCAGTAGTAAGTTCTAAGTGCCAGCAACAGCAAACAAATAACAACAACGATGGCAATAACAACAACCCAAACAGTCCCATAACAAGCTTAACACTTAAGCTATACATAATTTATCTTCAAGTGCCTATGTCATCGTATGTTTAACAAGCAAGGCAAGAAGCGAAAATATGACTGGAGGAATGGTTGGTTCGTCGGTCTGGTTGGTCTGGTCGGCACACCATTGGGAGGAATTAATAAAATGCTCCCGAAATCATTTACAACAAGCGTTTGTGTAATAAAACGGTGGGAAAAAATATTGAAAAACAAAAACACTCGCTCTCAGAGTTTGATTTTGTTGTGTTTGTGTTAAAAGTCGCATTTGTGTAAATAATTCATTCACAATGAAGGGTTGAGGGAGGAAGTGGATGAGTGAGTGTGTGTATTTGAAGGCTGTAAGCAGCAGTTAGGGACCAAAGCGATTAATTATTATTCTTCCTTTATATGTTGTTTTATTATCATTTTAATTATTACTGTTTTTTAGTATTTGCTTATAGTTTTTTTTTTCAAGTATTCTGCTTAATTTGAGAAAAACAATTTTCCCTAAGAAATTGTCCATATTATCTGTAACCAAAGAAACCAGCTTAGTTAGTTTTTTTTCTGCAATTTCCTATTCTTTTTTGCTAAGCATTCTTAAGGAATGGTCTTTCAAAAAGCTCCTCCATATGAGTGTTGCGAATGAGGCTGATACAAAATTTGTCTGTAAATGACTAAAAATTAAGTCATAATATTTTTCTAATTGTTTGAGGAACGGCAGCACGGATTTGCTGTGGGTGTCAGATCAGAATCTACGCATTTCTTTTAGAATATAAAACATATTTGAACTGAATGCACAGAAAGATGCATTTCCATCATTAATGGCAAACGGTTCGTAATAAAATTCCTAAGCTTGATCGTGTTAAACTATAAAGCCGTGCCGAACTTTAGCCAATCTCTTCGGATGATGACCTGTGGCATAGACATAGAGAGGATCTGTAGTACAATCCAACTTGCTTAGCCATAGTAAAAGCAAATAAATTCTTCCGGCTAAGAAATGTATTGTTATGCCTCTCGCCACACATTATTTCTCCTGTCACATTTGATTATGAATGTTCGTGCGACACTGCGTATA